TTTTTTTTGTTTTGTTTTTTAATAGAACCTGAAATTTTCAGGCTTATTAGCCCTCACCAGATACTGATGGCATGTCTGTGATACAACTGATTCAGAGAAAGATTGATTAAATGTTTACTGATATATGCTTTTGGCCTATATTGCCTTTGATAAAATAAATCAAACTTTGTAGCTTATCTCTCCTCATCTGCCCTTTTATATGGTGGCTGGATCACTGCCATAGGTCCTTTTGTGTATTGATTGATAAATGCAGTTTCGTTTTATTGGACAAGAAGTCAGAGAATACAAAATATTGGTGAGTGCATTGATAAGATGGGAAAAGAAGGCAAGGAAAAGTTGGCTGCTAACAATTATTAGTCCCTGGCTCGATGCTTTCTAAAGTTGTAAAAGTGTTTATAAAATTAGAATAGATACAGGACCTTGTCTAACTAAAACAATAGGAGTGAGACTGTCAAGTGGGATCATACACATGAGAATGTTTTGAAGCCAGTTCAAGCCTTCAATGCTGTTTAGAGCAGAGCCTGGGCCAGAGAGATGCTCTCAGGATACGGGAAGAAGGGGAAAAGCAGGGTGAGATAGGTACTATGAGTGAGGATCTATTTTGAGCAACGTTTAACTTTAGCCTAATCCATAGGGAACTCTGGAGCATGAGTAACTCTACCAAGTTGTCCCTAGATGGGTTAGTTAGCTATTTGAATTGGCTTTTGGGGTTGGGTATATGTTGACTAGGAAAGGGGGAGTAGGCAGCGTACTGACAGCATCTACAATACACTCTCGATTAAACAGAAAGAGAGGATTTGCTCCAGTAAGAATATCTTCTTTCTTGACCTGTGTGTTTTAATGTCAAGAGAGTAGCAGATAGTAGCTTGTGACAGGACAGCAGCATGGGGGTTTGGCAGGATGCCACCCTGGGGAACCATCCGGTAGATACGGAATTCCATGTTCAGCCCATGTATCTGTTCTCATCTCATGGCACCTGTTTTATTTTACTTAAATCATTCCTTTAAGGCACATCTTAATATTTCCACTCTGCAAGTGAAAAACACAAGGATTAGTGAAGTTAAGAAACTTGCTTTTTCCAAGGTCACAAAAAGGTGACAAAACCAAGATTCAAATTCTGCAGCCTAGAGACTCACTATCTTGCTACCCCAAGTCCAAGATACTGTAGGGGAAGACTAGTTTTAAATTGTACAAAGGTGACAGGGCAGCCACATGGAAGGTGGACTGACAGAAATTTGTTGGGAAACTGTTGGAGTGGTCTTCCATGTGAGATGAGGAGCTGAATCCTTAGTGAAGGGGCCCAACTGAAGGGCTGTTTTAAAAGCAAGTGGACAAAATGTCATGTGAGGTAAAGGGGATGTCAGGAAGGATATCCAGCCTTCAGACTTGACTGTCTGGTTAGATGGAGATAGCATTCACAAAGAGGAGCAGGTGAACAGGGAGAGGATTCTTTCTGCTGAGACACAGTAGCCTCCTCACTTGTGGTACTTGAATTGTTTTCATTGGCCAGAACCTTTACTTCAACAAATCAGTGGATTTCAGTGACTGCTTTTTGAACAGTGTCACCAGGGATGGTAACGAACTGTTTGGCAGCAAGTCCAGCTTGGGTGAGTTGCTCCCCGTCGGGACTGTTAAGTAATTTTAAACAATTGACAGATTTGTAAGAACATAGAATTGCTTAAAGTTGACCAGCTGAACGACTTAGCTTGATGTTCCAACTATTTTATTCATCTGGTTTCTCTGAAGTCAAGGGTGAGACTGTGCTGTTCTTTACAGGACTTGGGTAGATTCATTTGGGGGAGTTCTTAAAAACTATAATCCCTTGTGTCTCCCCTTTCACCCTTTCCTCTGTTTTAGATGGAGGAAATGGTTCCAGGAGCCCTGCCTGCTAGTTTTAATCAAAGAAGACTGTCTCAAAGTAGTCCTGAGTGACATTGCCGTAGGGTAGCTCTTTGCCTGTGGGGAGTAAGGTTTTCGACCTCAGCTCTCTGTCATTTCAGTAAGTGATTGCAGCCAGAGTGCCTCCGATGCCACTGAAAAAGCCAGGAAGACAAGGAACCTCAAGGCCAAAAAATGTCAGGAGGAGAAACAGCAGCTTACGGTATGTGTCCTCCTCGTCGCTATCTTCTTCAGTCTGCCTAGTTAACGTTTTGTTTTCACATTTATTAATGGCATAGAATGTTTGTCTTTTCTCTTCCCTCTTCCTTGTGAAAATGGCAGTCTCTTTTTATTGAGATAGAAGCCCCTCAAAAATCTTAGTCCTTAGTCCTCAAAGTAAACTCCCTGCTTTTCAATACTCTAAAGAGGTCTTGTGAAGCAGATTTACCCACCCCAACGTAATGCATCATTCAGTCTCTTGACTGCTGTTTTTGAGTATTGCTTGTGGATATAAGCAATACGGAATTCTTGACAACTTCCATCTTTTCTCCATTTTATCATCATGTTACCTATTGGTGGTCCAGTTATGAGAATTTTGGTCTTCTTTACAGAGTTGTAATCCATACTGAAGACTACAATTCTTGGTCTTTGTCAGCAAATGCTTCAAGTCCTCCTCACTTTAAGCAAGCAAAGTTGTATCCATCTGCACATCACAGGTTGTTAATAAGCTTTCCTCCAACTCTGATGCCACATTATTTGTATAGTCCAGCTTCTCTGATAATTTGCTCAGAATACAGATTGAATAAGTGTGATGAGAGGATATAACCCTGATGTCCACATTTCCTGATATTAAGCCAGGCATTATTCTCTTGTTTAGTTTGCTCAACTGCCTCTTGATCGATGCACAAGTTCCACATGACCACAATGAAGTGTTCTAGAATTCTTGTTCTTCTCTAGGCTCTCTATAGTGTGTTATGATCCCCACAGTCTAATGCCTTGGCATAATCAGTGAAGCACAAGTAAACATCTTTCTGGGATTCTCTGCTTTGAGCCAAGATCCATCTGACATCAGCAATGATATCGCTTATTCCACATCCTCTTCTGAATCCGGCCTGAACTTCTAATAACTCCCTGTCAATATACAGCTGCAACCTTTGTTGGATGATCTTCAGCAAAATTTTACTTGCATGTCATATTAATGATACTGTTATATAATTTGTGCATTCTGATGGACCATCTTTCCTTGGAGTGGGTACAAATATGGATCTCTTCACTCAGTTGGCCAAGTAGCTGTTTTCCAAATTTCCTGGCACAAACAAGTAAATGCTTCCATTGCTCCTTCAGCTTGTTGAAACATTTCAGATGGTATTCCATCAAATCCTGGAGCCTTGTTTTTGGCTAATGCTTTCAGTGGAGTTCAGTACCATTAGTTCTTGATCATATGCTACCTCCTGACATGGTGGAATATCGACTGGTTCTTTTGGGTATAGTGACTGTACTATTTCCATCTTCTTTTGATGCTTCCTGCATCATTGAATATTTTTCCCATAAAAACTTTCAATATTTCAATCTGAGGCTTGAATTTTTTTTTCATTTCTTTCAGTTTGAGAAATGCTGAATATGTTTTTCCTTTTTGATTTTCTAACTCTATGCACATTTCAATTTACTTTCTTCTGGAGCAGCCATTTGAAATTTCCTATTCAGTGCTTCGACTTCATCATGTATTCCATTTGCCTTAGCTACTCTGTGATTAAGAGCACGTTTCAGTCTCTTCTGTCATCCACTTTGATCTTTCATTTCTTGTCTTTTTAATGACCTTTTGCTTTCTTCATGAATGATGTTCTTGATGTTCCCACCATCAATGGATTAAGGATTCCAATTTCTTCACATCTTTGCGTACACATTTGTTATTTTCTGTTCTGTTTTGTTTTGTTGTTGTATCTTAGTCATACTAGTGGGAGTGAAATTATATATCATTACGATTTTGACTTGCATCTCTCTGATGGCAACTACTACTTAACCTGTAAAGCTATTTTAAGACCATAGAAATGGCCACATTGTATAATTCTGCAGCCGGAGAACAGATTCTTGCTGAAGGAAGTCGGGCCTGCAGGGAAAGGAAGAGTCTCTGTAATTGAAGAGCTGCTTGATGAAGTGAGTGTATTGTACCTATGTCTCTTCCAGGTGGAAGTTTTATTCGGTGTTGTCAAAATTACAGTGCCATTTAATTTTAGAAATATTTGAGAATAAATTAAATGAGTAGTTAAGAGCATTATTTTGTTACTTGTTTCTAGTTTCTATAGGAAAGAAACTAGGAAGAAAAGGGGCCGAAGTAACATGTATGAAAATTGATATAATTCCTGGTCTGTAACCTTATGAGACCTTCAGCCTGGGGTTCCTGAAGAAACTATGTTGTCAGGGGTGTTTGTAGCTCCTGATGTAGGAGGCAGAAGCTTTTACCCAGGTGATTTGGGAGCTTTATCCATTGTAGATTGAGTCTTAGGGTTTCCCTCAATAATATGGACTAACAAAATAGCCACAATAATAAAGTTGAACATGGTAGGAGACCAGGCAGTACTTTGTCTGTTATATATAAGGTCACCATGAGGTGGAGTCTGTAGCAATTAACCACAATAATAAAACCTTAAGTTTCTGTTTCTCTTTTCTTTTGATCTAAAAGTAGTTTAGTTCCATAAGGCCTTTTACCGTTAAGTACTGTTGACTACACATGTGAGGATATAGCGACTTGCTGCTGTTGCATTTTGTTGGTTTTGTGGCAAGCTTTTCTTCTTCTGTATACGGCAGGGGGCAGATCCCAACTGCAGTGATCACGAAGACCGGCCTCTGCTCACCGTGGCTGTTATGAACAAGCACCATGAAGCAATTCCGGTTCTTGTGCAGAGAGGAGCACATGTCGACCAGCAGTCAGGACTGTGAGTAAGCATGTTGACAGGAGAGCCTGGCTATGTTGCTGGAAACTAGCAACTCACAGGGCTTCATAGCAACAGAATGAATCTAAGCATATTCTCTATTAAATGAAAACTACCTGAGACCATTTTCCAGAGCCCTGGTAGGGTAGTGGTTACATATTGAGCAGTTTGAAACCACCAGCCGCTCTGTGGGAGAAAGACAAGGCGCGTGGAAAGAGTTACAGTCTTGGACACCCAGAGAGACAGTTCAACTCTGTCATTATAGGGTCACTATGGATGGAAATAGACTCTAGGACAGTGAATATGGTTTGATGACCGTTTTCTTTTTTAAAAATAATGATTTTGGTTTTATTATTTAAAATCCTTGGATCACACAGGCTGGCGTGCTTCTTTTATGTGGACTTAGTTGATGCCTCGTTATAGGTGGCTGCTTGTTGGAAGATAAGTCCATATTCTTTCTGAGATAGCTGGGCCCCATCTAGTTTTTCACCACACTTTGCTCTCCTATCTTCAGTGATCTCTATGAAGGTGAGTGTCAAGCAGGACCATATTATAAGAACTAATTGTTCTTAGATTGGGCTAGAATTAAGTGCAAGCCTCAGACCCATCCCTGCATCTATGGTTATTATATGTCTCTGGTTCACTGTAGAGACATAATTGTCATTTTTGTTAGAGATCATTACCAGTCATTCTCCTGCAGCATTACTTTCTTTTTTTTTTTTTGAATCATTTTATTGGGGGCTCATCCAACTCATCACAATCCATACATACATCAACTGTGTAAAGCACATTTGTACATTCATTGCCCTCATTCTCAAAACATTTGCTCTCCACTTAAACCCCTGGCCTCAGCTCCTCATTTTCCCCCCATCCTACCTGGTGCCCCCTCCCTCATGAACCCTTGATAATTTATAAATTATTATTTTGTCATATCTTACACTGTCCAACGTCTCCCTTCACCCACTTTTCTGTTGTCTGTCCCCCAGGGAGGAGGTTATATGTAGGTCCCTGTAATTGGTTCCCCCTTGAAGACCATTTTCATCCATTTGGATCTTCTTCATAAAAGGTGTATTATGTGGAAAGAGGGAACCGATTACAAGGAACTATATGTGACCTCCTCCCTGGGGGACGGACAACAGAAAAGTGGGTGAAGGGAGACGTCGGACAGGGCAAGATATGACAAAATAACAATTTATAAACTATCAAGGGTTCATGAGGGAGGGGGGAGCGGGGAGGGAGGGGAAAAATGAGGACCTAATGCCGAGGGTTTGAGTGGAGGGAAAATGTTTTGAGAATGATGGGGGCAATGAAGGTACAGATGCGCTTTACACAATTGATGTGTGTATGGATTGTGATAAGAGTTGTGGGAGCCCCTAATAAAATGATTAAAGAAAAAAAAAGGTGTATTATGCTTCTGATTTCTAAATTTGAGTAAAAAAATTTATTATTGCTTTACTGTTTATAACTTTTTAAAAAGATCCATTTTTTTTCACTTGGGAACATACATTGCTGTGGTCCAGATAAATCCGTAATCCATGGGATGTTAATAAATGTTGTTAGGTGCTATCAAGTAGACTCTGACGTGTAGTGACCCTGTGCACAACAGAGTGAAACACTGCACGGTCCTGTGCCATCCTCACAATTGTTCCTGTGTCTGAGCCCATTGACGTAGCCACTGGGTTAGTCCGACTCCTTGAGGGCCTTCCCTTCCTTGGCTGCCCTCCACTTCACCAAACCAGATGTCCTTTTCCAGGGCCTGGTCTTTCCTGACAATATGTCATAAGTATGTAAGATGAAGTCTGCCCTCCTTGCCTCTAAGGAGCACTCTAACCTTACTTCTTCCAACATGGATCAATTGAGAAATAAACACTTTCATCATAATTTGAACTGCTAGGATAGATTTTTTTAAAATTATTTTATTAGGGGCTCATACAACTCTTATCACAATCCATACACACATCAATTGTGTAAAGCGCATTCGTAAGGCCCCCATTTTTTTTAGGCCCCCATTTTTACCTGTGGAAATATGCTCATGAAATTAATGAAAGAAATGTTGTAAGAGAGCAAATCAAGAGTATTGCTACAAAAATCACTGAAACTTTTACTAAACAAAAATATCAAAAAGTAAATCTTTTCCTTACATGTCCTATATGTAAATCTATACAATTCTTTTAAAAAAAACAATTTTGGTGTGTGAATTAGTTGGGGGTTTTACCTTTCAGATCATCAACCTAGCATTGACTATTTAAACCACTCATCAACACCTCCCTCCCTTCAAGTAGCCTGCCCTACCCACCTCCTTTGATTTCTCTTCTCCCTCTTGTGGATTACTTTCTTCCCTTCACCCAAGTTAATGCTGTCACCCCTCCAGCCTATAGCTTCATCTTCCCTCCCTAACCCTCTTCCACCTGGTAACCTCCAACATTTGCTCCCTTTGGTATGGAAATCCTTACCTTAGTTTTTTTCCTTAAGCCAGTGGTCTCATACAATGTTCATCCTTTTGCGATGGACTTATTTCATTCAGCGTAATGTTCTCCAGGTCCATCCATGCTTCCTGGTTTCAGTTTCGTCATCCGTTCTGTGCTGATGGGCATTTTGGTTGTTTCCATCTTCTAGCTACTGTGAACAGTGTTGCGATGAACGTGAGTGTGCCTATGTCGTGTATGCTATAACTCTTACAGAGCTACTGGTGGATCTTCTGGAATTTCTATTTCCAGTTGTTGGAGCTAGTGTCATATCCGTTTCCACAGTGGTTGTACAGATGACAATTCTGAGGCCTCCAATCTTTCCACACCCTCTCTAGCATTTGTTGTTTTCTTTTTGTAAATTTTGCTCTGTCTGTGTAAGGAGGTATCGCATCATTGTTTTGATTTTCATCTCCCGGATGGCTGATGATCATGAGCAGCTGTTCGTGTTTGCTGGACATTTGGATGTCGTCTTTGGGAACAGTCTGTTCATAACCTTTGCCCACTTTTTAATTGCGTTGTTTGTCGTTTTCTTACTGGAGTACTGTAGTTGTCTACAGATTTTAGAGATTAATCCCTTGTCTGTTGCGTTGTTACAAAAAATGTTTCCCAGTTCATGGGTTCTCTTTTCACTCTTTTGTTGCACAGTGTCTCATTTTTAGTAGGTCCCAGTCATCTATTTTGTCTTCTACTGTGTGTGCTTCCTTCGTTATGTTTGATAGTATATCTGTGCCCTGCATTAGGGCCCTTAAGTTTGTCCCTATTTGATAATCTTTATAACTCTGGGATTTATATTTAGTTCTTTGATCCATCTTAAGCTTATTTTTTATTCAGATATCAACTTTGTTCTTTAAAGAAATGGAAAAAGTAATTATTAATTTCATATATCTGGATCAGAATTGCCTTGTATTTACAGATTGCTTTGGGCAGTATATTTTCACCATACTAAGCCTTCCCACTAACCACGAGGTCAGAAGTTCAACACCACCAGCCAATCTATTGACAAAAATGAGGCTTTCTACTCCCATAACAAGTCTCAGAAACCCATAGGGGCAGTCCTTTCCTGTCTTATAGGGTCACTGAGTTATGACTTGACTCGATGGCGCAGGGTCACCCATGAACATGGACTACTCTTCCAATTGTGTAGGTACTTTTGTGGTTTCGTGTAGTGATATTCTGAGTTTTCTTTGTGTAATTACCACATATCGTGTATAAGCTGACTTTTTCAGCACATTTCTTAGGCAGTTTTTGTGGTAAAATTAGATGCCTTGGCTGATGTTCGGGTTAGTTTATACTCGAGTATATATGGTATTTTGTTTCTCTAGCTAGATTTATTACTAAGTGTTTCATCTTTAATGTGGATATGGTAAATTATATTGTTTTCTTGATTTCTTTTTCAGAGCCTTCTTTGTTAGTGTATAGGCATCTAATTTTTGCATGTTAATCTAATATCCTGCCACATTGCAAAAAAAATTTTTTTAGTTGGCATTTAATCATATCACTCCATAATTCAATCACGTCAAGTAGAATGATACAATTTCTACCACAATCAGTTTCCAAACATTCTTTTTCTACATGGACTCTATGACATCATCTCCCTTTTATCCCACCACCACTGTACCCCCACCCTCACAACTCGTATTCTACTTGCTGTCCCTATAGGTTCATCAATCCTGGGTTTCATACACCAAAAAACAGAAAAGCATATAACACAGCTTTAAACGGGTGACTTTCATTGGCAGAACACCTCTGAGATCTACTCTAATATGAACAAATAAAAACCCACCAAAACAATACAAACCAAAAATACAGAAAATTTTGGAAACCAGATCAGGTCCATCCCACATAAGAGGTGGGATCTACTGACAGAGTTTTAACTGTTCAGGTCAGATTCATGCCTTTGATCTTCTGTACTCCTCTCTTCCAAGCTCTCTGTTCAGTGATCACTTTTCTCCCATCCCTCAGTTTCAGATAGGGGAATTCTCTGGATGCCTATTTCCTAGGTAGTTCACAAATGAATTCTGGGCTCCCGCTGTCATCCATCACCTTCAGCAAACCAGATTCTCAATGTCGGCTCTGACACTGTCCCTCCTTTGACTTCAAATTATATGGATTTCAATCCTTCAGTGACTGGTGATGGTGTGCTTCTTCCATGTGGACTTGATTGACATCTCATTTACATGGCTGCTTGTTCAGAGACAAGCCTTTAAGACCCCAGATGCTATTTTATCTGATAGCCGGACCCATCTAATTTCTTTGCCATATTTTGCTATAGCACCTGTATCTTCTGTATTCAGCAAGATTAATGAAATCACCATATTGAAAAATGGGGTAAAATATTATCTCCCCCGCCCCCCAAAAATATATTATCTTCCCTTTCACTTTAGCTAACATCTGTCTATGCTCTAGCGCAGCACTTATCAACCTGGGGGTCACAACCTCTTTGGGGGTCGAACAACCCTTTCACAGGGGTCACCTAAGACCATATTTCTGATGGTCTTAGGAACTGAGACTCCTCTCCTCTATGCGTCTCCAGGGGGGTCTGCCCACATGCAGATACGTCCACATATGGGGTCACCATATCATGAGGAACTGTATTAAAGGGTAGCGGATTAGGAAGGTTCAGAACCGCTGCTCTAACCTATTGCTTCCCCTTTCCTTCCTCATACCCCACCATTCACCCCTCGAACCATCAAAGTCTTTCAACATGAAAAACCAGTATTATGCTTTTTTTTCCTTTTACAATGATGTTTGTCCTTTTGTGGTTGACTAACTTGACTCAGCGTAGTGTCCTCCAAATTCACCCATGTCATTGGGAGTTTCACAGTTTTATTATTCTTTGAATGCTGCGTAATAATGCCATTGTGTGTATGCACCAAAGTTTACATATCTGTTCTTCCACTGCTGAGCTTTCAGGTATCTGCATCATTTTGCTATTATGAACATGGCCAGGTTCTCTGGGGACTGTTCTGTACTGTGGGTGAGCTGCCCAGCTCCTGGTTGGTGTGGTTGGCAATCTGAAAGTTTGTTGTACCTATAGTCTCTTCATGTGCATCTCACCACCAAATTCTCTCTCAGTGCCCACTTCCTCAGACACTCAGGTCTTCAGATTTTTCCTCCGCATCTGTTTTCTCTACATCTTTGTTAAAGAGGACCATGTAGCGTGTCAAAGACATCTTCTTACCAGCTGTTAGCTAAGGTGAGAGGGAAGGTAAGATAATCTTCTAGAAGAGGAGAAAGAAGAAGAAAAGCGGGGGTTGAAGGGGAAACGGGGCAAGCTATTAGGAGGTTTTATTCTGGCTTCTTTATTTGTGCCCTTTTTTCCTTCTTTCTAGAAATGTTTATCATTGATGTTCTAAAATTGCACAAAGATATTTTCCAATATGGTGTTTTTATTAATGGTACTGATGCTTTCAGTCTGAAAACTCTTCTGCCCAGGGAAAATTTCTTCTCTTATCCTTTTGGTATTTTTTCCTCTTTAACTTTCTTATTCTATCTCTCTAGAACTCTTATTAGTTGGATGCCCAGGCTTAATTATTCCCTCATGTTTTCTTTTTCCATCGTTCATTTTCTCTGTTTTTAGAGATTTTATCAACTATAGTTTTGTTCATCTCATCTACTGAGTAATTTTTTTATTTCAAAAGCCATACATTCTAAATTTTGTTCTGATTACTTCTTATCCATAGTCTCATGTGTTTGTGCTATATTGTCTTGAGTCAGTCTCAGGATATCAAGTGGGTTTTTTCTTTTTTCAAAATTTATGGGTGCACATCTTCTATTTCTTCTTTAATGGTATAGGTCTTTCTCATATGTCGATAATCCTTTGCTATACATCCACATTTGAGAATGGGAACTCTATATGCCTGAGTTGAGTTTGTCATCTAAGGGCTTTGTGGGGAAATAAAGCTTTGCCAGGTTGGTACCCCTGGATTCCAGAAATTGGAAGCTTCCCTTTGGGTATGGCAGCTGTCTCTCTGGTTCTCACAGGAGGGTCCCTTATTTTCCTCGAGAAGAGATCACGGTGCTTTTGCTCCCTTGGGCTAAGTTTGTGAGTACAAGTTGTGAAGAGGGGGGTGATGGTGGTGTCGATGAGAGGAGCTGGGAGAATGCAGTCATTCGATTACGCATCTTCTTTCTATCTCTAGTTTTGACTCCCACCTTCCGTCATTCCTGCCACCTCTGGATAAGGTGTTCTAGAATGCAGGTACCACTCCCCCACCCCACCCCTGACCCTAGATTCAAGCCATCCACCTTTCACTCCCTAGTTCCAACCTGATCATGCAAAGTGGAGAGACAACATTACATTGCAGCACGAAGCTCTATCCTCTTAAACTTGCTTGAGTTCTAAGATGGATGTTTATGTTCATATCATATAAACCAAACTCACTGAAACTAAAGTCATTTTTCCTGTACAAGAAAAAGAGCTTTGATATGACAAAATAACAATTTATAAATTATCAAGGTTTCGTGGGGGGAGGGGAAGTGGGTAGGGAGGGGAAAAAATGAGGAGCTGATGCCAGGGGCTTAAGTGTGGAGAGCAAGTGTTTTGAGAAAGATGAGGGCAATGAATGTACAAATGTGCTTTACATAATTAATGTATGTATGGATTGTGATGCGAGTTGTAGGAGCCCCTAATAAAATGATTTAAAAAAAAAAACAAAAAGAAAAGGAGCTTCAGCCCCCCAAAGTTATTATAATACAGAGTATATGTATTGCTTATATTATAAACAATGCGAAGAAAAGGTCCAAGCCAAAGTTGAGACAAGGCCCAATATACACTCTTCTGGTTAATTAACTATATTAGTATTTATAGCATTTAAAGTAACCAAAAACTAGAAACTTGTAGGATTTCTCATATTTAAAAATTAATATTTATATAGTTTTAACTTTCTATCTAGTTTATCTAGTCTCAGAATTTACCCAGTCTCACTATTTCTCCAAGGAAAGAGAGGGGGGAAATGAAAGGATTTTCTCAGGATAGTTCAGTAGGTCAGTGGGTGAAACCAAGGCCATTTTGATCCCACGCTCCTGCTCCAATTTCCTGATGATGCTAATGAAGGATTTAGTCCTCAAAAAGATTTCTTTTCCCCAAACAGGCTCAGAAATACAGCTCTTCATGAAGCTGTTCTGCTTGGCCTGGAAGGAAGGAAGTGCGTTGGTGCTTTGCTGGGGTATGTTACTTGGGTTTTGGGTAACACGTTGGAGGGCCACAGTGAGCCCTACTGATCGACCCCAGTGCCACAAACTACCATCCCACCACAGTTACAGGACACTAAAGGCTTTTAAAACTATAGGAACAATGTTGCCCTGATCAGTTACAGACTTTGATGCAAAGGGAAGGGCTGATGATTGATCATTTAGTAGTCACAGAGCTTTCAGACGATCTCAGGGTAGGAACATCCCTGAAAGCTGAGGTCATGGTGGCTTCCTAGTGAGAGGTTTTGGGAAGTGGGCCTGGGAGGTGCCCAGACTGGCCTCTGTGGCAGAGAAGAGTCAGATCCTCAGTTTTAAATACCTGAGTCCTTAAGCTTGTATCTGTTTCCCTTACAGATGTAATGCAAGCATCCAAAAGAAAAACATGAAAGGCCAGACAGCGTATGACCTTGCTCTGGAAATGGGGGATGACCTTATCACCTCACTCTTTGCTGCTAAGCTTGGCCAAGATCTCTTGGACCTACTCACCTAACCTGAGTCTCAGCCTGGATGATTGCTGGAGAAGTCATCCAGCTCTGTCTTTCTCTTGGGCCTTTCTTAAATGTGTATGAAATGTGTGTTTGAGGTTTGGGAATTGAGTTTGAGAGGAACTTTTAAAAAAAATGATAATAAGAGCCACCAACACCACATGGATGTTTCCCAATATACCTTAGTGTGTGATGAACTCAATGTATGCTTTTGTAATGGTTTATTGTTGATTTCCTTTAAATATTCTTTTATGTTATATTTTTCAATAAATAAAAATTATATCATCTGAAGCTAAAACATGTCAAAGGTATTATACAATGAAAAGTCTCCTTCTTTTCCTGTCCTGTAGCCACCTAATTCCCCTCTTCAGAGGCCACCAGTGACACCATTGCTATCTGTGTCTTTTCAAACAGACTTATATACAAAATATTCATGAAATATCTGTATATGTATTTTGTACCCACTGTGGGCATAAACAGGAGCAAACCAGTACTGTTCTGTAGCCTGTTTCTTTTGATTTTAGATATTGTGATTCCAAGTTCTCAAACCAAAAAACAAACAAACAAACTCACTGATTCTGATTCAGAGTGACCTTATAGGTCAGGGTAGAACTGCCCCTGTGAGTTTCCAAGACTGTAATATTCTATGGGAGTAGCTGGTGGTTTCAAACTTAATAAATTAAAAAGGAAGCTTTGCTTAAACTATTTTTCTTCTTATATTAAATCCACCAATAGTCCTCTTTGTTATAGTTTGTTCTTTGGTTAACACAATAGCTTTCGATAAACCATTGGGAGGGATAAATCATTTTGACTTTTCAGATCTTTATTATAGCCTGTGGGTGGTAGCATTATAGTTGTGGAGTCCCTAAGCTGTTTCCATTAATAGATGTAAGCACCTGACATACTGGAAGTTATCACAATAAATAATGCACAAATCATTGCTCTTAAATTTTATTCCTTCAGCTCATACTTCATTTAAGTCACTCCATTTATTTCATAATATGGTCGACTCTGAGAAGGCGCCTCTTCCTCAGTCATATTTTGAGTGCCTCTGACATGAGGGTCTCATCCAATATCTGTCCTATTCTGATTGATTAGTTTATTCAGCATAATGTTCTCCAGTTTCATCCATGGTATGAGGTGTTTCAAAGATTTATCATTATTCTTTATTTTAGGCTGGGCTTTCTTTTTAAAAATCATTTTATTGGGGGCTCCTATAACTTTTATAACATTCCATACATCAATTGTTTCAAACATATTTATACATATGTTGGCATCATCATTTTATAAACATTTTCTATTTGAGCCCACGGTATCATCTCTTTTTTCACTCACTCCCCCCTGGTGACCCCTTGAAAATTATAAATTGTTATTATTTTCATATCTTACACTGACTGCTGTCTCCCTTCACCCACGTTTCTGTTGTTTGTCCCCCCGGGGCGGGGGGGTTATGAGTCAATCATTACGATTGGTTCCCCCTTCCTCCCACTACCTTCTCCAACCCTCCTTGTATCACTACTCCCCTTTCTGTTCCTAAGAGGTTTATCTGACCTGGATTCTGGGTGTTGCGAGCTCTTATCTGTACCAGTGCACATGCTCCTGTCAAGCCAGAACTGAAAGACAGGACTGGGGTCATGGTCGGGGTGGGGTGTGTGGAATATTGTGCGTTTAATCGGTGCTATACTGTGTCCTGGTTGACTCATTCCTTCCTTGTGACCCTTATATGAGGGAATGTCCTATAGTCTACAGATGGGTTTTGGATCTTTGTTCCAACCCTCTTGTTCTCAATAATAAGTATTTTTGTTTTGTTTTGGGTCTTCTGGTGCCTGTTACCTGATTTGATTGACACCTCATGTTTGCTCAGGGTGATGTGCTTCTTCCATGTGGGCTTGTTGCTTCTCTGCTAGATGGCTGCTTGTTTAACTTCAAGCCTTTAAGACCCCAGATGTTATATCTTTTGATAGCTGGGCACCATCAGCTTTCTTTTATTTTTTTAGCTTTCTTTACCACATTTGATTATGCACCCATTTTGTCTTCAGCA